ACAGACTGATCCAAATAGTCCTGCAGCATTGGGTGGAACCCTGGTCCTTCTATTTGAAGAAAATCTGCACATAACCTATGGTCCAGCTTGCCACGCACTCCTCCAGGCTGGCTTTGGGGTGGGACTTGGGGAGGCAGCTGGGGAGACGTCGAGAAGGAGGAGGTGTCCTGGCCCTTCACAGGAGGACAAGCAGCACCAGATCCCTAGGACAACGACTCCCCCACTTTTGTGCCCTGCCTGTGCTCGGGCCTTTTAACGTCTATCTGTTCTTCCTCAGCCCAGAGCACAGCTCTGCTTCTGCCCATGTTCCCTACCTCTGCGGTCACAACTGACAAGAGGTTCCTGGCAGCTCAGAATGGAGTCTGGGGTGACACTTTCCTTACGGGGCGTGCCTGACCCCAGACAGACGCAGAGCTGATTCTGTCCCCATCCAAGTACAAGCCGTGTGACTTCAGGCAAAGGCATGGACACTCGGTCCCTTGGGCTGCCAGGTGGGGATAACCGCTCCCTCTCAGGGTGGCTGTGAGGGGTCGGTGAGATGATGCAGGTCAGCTCCTGCCCAACACGTGATCGGCCCTCATCCCCCTCCCTCTTCCCATCTTGGTCCCTTCTCTACCTTCTATGGGCTGGAGGAATCAAGAGTTTAGAAAATCGTCTCCTTGCGGCAGAATGAGTTCTCCTGATGGTGTCCACACAGCCAAAGTCCCCTGAGTGCTGACTCCGGCATCTGTGCCAGCTTTGTCCTCAGGACAGCGCTCACCACAGCCCCTCCTGGCCTTCGCACCCCTGCTCCTCTCCAGACTCATGGTCCCCGCCTCAGCTCAGGCCGGCAGCACCCGTCAGTCCTCTCACTGGTCTCCCTTCTTCCCGCCCTCTCTCGTCCAGTGCAACCTCCACAGTGACCAGCTTGGAGTTTCTAAGTTAGCGAATTTATCCTATCACTTCCTGTGCATAGAACTACCAACAGCTTCCTCCTAAGGTGGGGAATGAAGTCTCTGCCATCAGCAGTGTGGAGCCTTCATCAGGCCCTCTCTCCCTCAGCAGCTCCTCCGCCCTGCAAGGCTGATGTGATGGACCTGGACCAGGTCGAGGGTGAGCTGGAGGTGTTCTGAAAGTGAACGAATCCCTAGCAGCTTCTTTTAGGGTGCAGCCAGCCCATAACTCTGGGAGAGAGAGAGCACCAGAGTCTAGAGAAATGGTTCTTGATTTAGTGTTGTTGGTTGTGGATGTGAGACTGGGTGACACCATGTAAGCCTCAGCCCCACACACCTGGATGCACCCTGCTTATTAGTCTTGTACAACTATGTGAGTTAGACACTTAGAAAAAGTTAGGAACCATTTCTATAGAACTACATAGATTAAGTACCCAGCACTGAGGCACCCCAGCCATCAGATCTTCTCAGCTTAGGTCCCACATGTAATTGAGGAGAGACAAGCCACTTGTGATGTCCTGACTTCTTGACACAATAAACAAGTGAGTATAATAAAATATAAAAACAGTAAAATTATATCACTAAAAAAAAAGAATATACGAGTATGAAAGCAACTGTGGTATACTAATGCAGGGTAGTGAGAATCATCCATATTGCATGCAAGCAAAAAAATGTTTTAGTATCTGTAGAAAATTTAAAAACAGGAATAAAACCAACAAAAACCTGGCATGCTTTAATTATCACCACACACTGACAATTTTTAACAATGTCAGTGATAAAATATGCCTCTCTAAAAGAAATGTTTTCTTAGTCTTAGGTCTAAACAATTGATGAAGTTACTCTTGAATTTTATTAATATGCATATTCATTAATAAGTATTGCATTGGACATAAGAGTAAATTTAGAGACGTCCCAGTTATACCAACACCACCTATACACACAGACTCAGCTACAGGAATGCCTTTGGAAAGTAAGTTCAAAATGCTTTAGAATGATTGAAGCTTGTTTTGGGTGCAATTCCCAAATTACCTAGTATAGCATGTCCTTGTTTAAACCATAGTTCAAAATAAATAATGACAGTTGAGTGGATGTTTGTACTTTTGGAGCAGCGCTCAGCAGGCCTTATTAGTATCCTATTGGTCCTATAACAAATTACCACAAACTTAGTGGCTTAAAATTTAAAAATGGCTGCAGTTTTCCCTTCTATAAGGGGGGGCGGGGAATTCCATTCCCTGCCTCCAAAAGATGTCATGGAGATAAATAACTGGAAAGATGACACATTCTGAATAAATCATAGATGTTTACATGCTATGTCAAGCCTGGCTTGATATCATCTCCCAAATAATTCAAGGGCTCAAATCTCAAACTTCCTAGCCTTTAACTACAATGCTCCTACCTACTAATAGGATCCCTCCTCCCACTTTCCAGTAGGTTTCTTAGTACTTCGTTTTGGGCCCTCACCAGCAGCACCCTTAAAGTCTGTATTTCTACTGACTGTCTCTTCAAAGCAATATAGGCTTTCTGTATGCTTCTCAAAATTCTTCCAGCTTCTACCCACTGCCTGATTCTAAAGGCACTCCCACATTTTAGGTACTTGTTACAGCAGCACTCTAAGTCTGTAGTGGTTTTCTACTGCTGTGTAACAAAGGACCACAAACTTAGTGACTTAAGACAACACCCATTATTATCTCACGGTCCTGTGGGTCAGGAGTCCAGATACAGTTTCATTGGGTCCCCTGCTCAGTGTCCTGATTAGGCCAGACCCACTCAGGATAATCTTCCTTTGGATTAAATCAAAATCAAATGGTTAGTAACTTAAACACAAAAATGAAATCCCCTCATGTTCACAAGTCCTGCCCACACCAACAGGAGGGAATTATAGAGTGTATACCAGGTGTGGACATCTTGGCAGCCGTCTTAAGAATTCTGTCCACTCTTTCCACTGAAAGCTCCAGTGCTCCATGTTCTTATTCCCTCCCTTTACCCAGTTTTTATGCCCTAATACTTGAACAGATGCCTCTTTTTTAAAGCAGTCTAATGAGTTTAAACAGCATGTTTTTTTTTAAAATAATTTTTTTTGGGGGGGGAATTGGGGGAGGGGAACAGACAAGTAGCTGTCCTTTTGTTCTTCAGTCTAGTTGTGGAGGACGTTGCTTCACTGGCCCATGTTGGTATTATCATTGCGCTCTTCCTGGGTGAGGCAGCAGCTCGCCGGCCCTTGGACGGCAGCTCACGCTGGCTGCTGGCCACTCACGGTAGCTTACGGCAGCCCACTGCAGCTCCACTGCAGCCTATGCTGTCACTGGCCCATGTGGGATCCGAACCGGCAGCCCTGCTGCTCAGAGGCTCGCCATCCCAAGCCAACTCAATCAACAAGCCACTCTGCTGGCCCAAACAGCATGTTTCTTATTCTCTGTAAAATCAATCAGAGAGAAGTAATTCAGTTTTCTTCATGGTGGGCAACCTACAAAAGGCCAGCAGATGCACAATTGTATGCGGCCAGTAATCTTTATTCCTCAGTCCCTCAGGCAATGTGCATGGACACATGTTTGTGGCTTTTTAAGAATATATGAAAACTAGAGAAAGTTAGTACAGTAAAGGAAGCTCTTAATTTTAAAATGGCCTCTGCCTATGTAGTATTTAACACTCTCCCAGCTCTTTAAAAACATATTTTTATAAAATGAAAACTCTAACAAACGTTTTAAATATTTTTAAGAATCAGCCAGAGAATTCATGGAGAAAGCAATTGGCTTTGTACGCAATTGCTGCTAGCTGTGTGCATCTCTAGTTCAGCTCTTACCAAGAGACAACTCATCAATTAAGTTTAATTTTTATTTTTCTCCTATGTCCACTGGGAAAAAAGCCTCACTTTCCCTTTCCTCTGCTCTGGTAAATCCTTCCTTGTATGATCATGTTGTGGTTAGACTTTTACAAGTATGTACTATATGCACTCTAAACATTGTGGCTTCCTCTAACACGTTTTAGCAATCAAGGTCAGTATATGTACGGGGACACACACAAACCTTTATACATATGTGAACATAATGAAACATGTCCTCTTTGAAGTCATGAGATGACAAGAAAACACTCATCAATTGGTGTATTTTTGGAGTCTGACAAAGTATCTTTAAAAACATGTTCATTTTGTGTTAACGTATAAATGCACGCTATTGTCCAAAGCATTTTAAACGGGAAGCCAATCTACCGGGCTTTATCTTTAATGAGAATTTCTGCTAGCTTTCAGATAACGACTCAGCTACCAGAAGAGAAGCAGGTGCTGAGGCAGCTCCAGTCTCCTGCTCCTCTAATGTCAACAGGGCTGCATTCACCAGTCTCCAGGTTTAGGCTGCTATCATCTCCACAGAGTATTTATCAAACCTTTTGCCAGATTTACGGAAGAAAATCAGAAAGCTACAGTTACTCAAATGGCAAGAGTCAATTTTTATGTTAGGACTTCTAATCCCAAACCATGTACAACTTAACAGGTTTGAGGGACCTTCGCTACAGAAAACACTGAGAAGCATTAAGAAACAGGCATAAGTCAGCCGAGTGGCTCAGTTGGTTAGAACTCAAGCTCTGAGCAACAGGGTCGCCGGTTTGATTCCCACATGGGCCAGTGAGCTGCGCCCGAGCTGAGCTGCCACTGAGCTGGTGAGAGAGTGTGCACTTAGCAGCAAGGTTGCCAGTTCGACACTCACATGGAGTGGTGGGCTGTATCCCCCCACAACTAAGATTGAATACGGCACCTTCAGCTGAGCAGCCCCGAGCTGCCAATAGGCGGCTGGATGGCTCAGTGTGCAACAAGGTTGCTGGTTCGACTCCCGCATGGGATGGTGGACTACTCCCCGGCCATAGCTAGATTGAAAGTAGCGACTGGACTTAGAGCTGAGCTTGCACCCTCCACAACTAAGATTGAAGGGCAATAACTTAAATTGGAGCTGATGGGTCCTGGAAAAACACAACGTTCCCCTTCCCCAATTCCCCTATAAAAAAGCTTAAAAAAAAAAAGAAACAGGCGCAAATCATTTAAAATGCCTTTTAAAAGTTGATCAAAGATATAGACAGTCATAAGAACCAAAAGAAATTTATTTACAAGATTTCTTACTTGGCCGGTGAAGAGAGCCAACAAAAAATATACCAAGAAACCATCAACTATGAGCCTACTAATAGTGTTGAAGCCACTTCATACAGAAGCAGCAGAGCAGCTCCTGACTATTAGGCTACAGAGGTGTCCTTGTGCATGTCCTTCTATGGCACAGGACATACATGTAACCACAGGGGTCTGTGCAAGTAGCATCATGGCGTCTGTCAGCTCTGCTGAGTCAGTGTCCAGAGTGCTGCTCCCCGTCTACCTTACACAGCTGTTTCACCACGTTTGTCGACTCCTTTGTGGGCTGTTTCATCTCTTCCTGCTCTGTTGTCAGTTTTTTCTTTTTCTCCTCTGTCAGCTCCTTTCTCATTTTCTTTGTCCTGAACACTGCTGTAAACTACTTTGTTATGGCCTTCCCGGTTCCGAGCAATCTCAATGGCAAAAAACTGTATTCTGGGGGCTGAAAGGTGAATAGAATTGATTATTGTCCTAATTGCAGTGACTTCTCTAACCCTACTGGAAAACTATTCACAAAGCTGAACAAACATGCAAAGTACTCGAGTATACTCTCTAAGTTTCAAAGATGTGAAATTCTAATCCTATAATAAATGAGGGTGAAAATACTGAACCCCAAACTAACTATTCATGTCAATGATGCATCAGTATAACCAGATCCCTCATTCACCTGAGACAGAAACAATTCCAGGGGCAGGAAACTCACCAAAGATGGTGTTTTCCTCCGTGTAGCCCTGAGAACAATCCAGTCGCAGCAAAGTACCGTAGTTGAAGTCTTCTACAACCCCGTCAAACTTCAAGCAGAATGGCCTCCACTTCTACAAGTAAAAAAGATGCCTAAGCCGACTAATGCAGGCCGCGTCTGAAGTCAGGCCAGGAGGGGGGCTTCCACTTCCCCAGTAAGGACCGTAAGCATAGCGAGAGGCTAGGTTTAAGGGGATCACCAGTTTCACTGGCAGCAAGTCACTGTGCTGTAATAGCTACTGTGTTTTTGGACTGGCATTTCCCAACAAGAACGATATTGTGACCTGAGAAAAGACTCGAATTGGAGACTACAGAATGAAAATGGAATCTTTATTTTGTTTTTCCTTCTTGGCTAGCTCAACCACAAATGGTGATTCCTCCCCACGGAAGCACAAATGAGACAAAGAAGGCAGGGATTTGGCCCAAAATCCCAAAGTTACATTTTAAGAAAGAAATCCATTCAGTTGAGGCAATTTTCCAAATATCAGTGACATCCTGATAAGAGTTAAAAGCTTACATTATCCATAAGCCAAGGGCCTAGTCTCAGGGAAACTTTTCTCCAACTAGAAGAGTTTTAGTGCTCTGTAAAAGTACAAGATAATCAATTAAGCAATGCGAAACCCATGTTTTTCAATTATCTATGGCATGGCCTGTGGTAATGTCAACTTGAATCCAGAGAATGCAAACACCTCCTTGTACCCTACTTGCCAATCTGCCATCCACACATTCTGGTTAAACTACTCATGGAAGTAAATTTATTCCTCCTTCCCTGAAAGGCCTGAGTGGTTAGCGATGAAAGGTCCAAGTCAAAAAGGAGGAAAAAACAGATTCAATGAACATAAAAAATCCATAAACCAGAAAAACATTCATTGCATAACTTACTTATTGGTTGATGATAACTACATAAAAGCCCTGGTTCTTTATGTATTTTCCTTAAAGCAACCACCCCACCCCCAATTTAAATGTATAAAAATGTCTTTACAATAAATGTTAGTCAGATGCTAGGCAACATTTAAGAAAGAGAATTCATACCTCTTTAGCTGATACTGATTTGAGCTCTTCTGGGTCCAATACATCTATCCTGAGTTTCTCAAAATTTTTCCGAAATTCAGAATAGATTTGGTCATCCACTTTGGTGAGTTTCAGGAACTGGGGGTCAACTGATGAAATCAGCTGCCAGACAATAAGACAATACACATACACTAGTTTCTAATTTACTACACTTCTATTCCCCCTTCCCAAGAAAACCCTTACGGTTCTCATGGCAGAAGAGCTCATTAGGAAGTACAGACAGACAGCCTAAGTTCTGGATGAAATCATGACACAGTTTTAAAAGGCCATACATACAGTCCCTTCCACCAATTGGAACACTTTGGGCCCTAGTACTGCCTGGCTGTTGCCCTCTGTGAACTGTTTATTTGGTTGACAAACATTTCTTAAGTGCCTACGATGAACCAGACACCCTTTCATCAGCTAGCAACAGAACTCTAGGCAAAGAAGCACAAGCCCTCACTGTCAAAACAAAATTCACTTCGACCCCAATTCTCTGTGGGTAACATCTTACAGTAATAAAAATTATCTCCAAAATACAACTGTTTAACTTGCTGAGAATAGTGATCCGCAGAGAAGCATACAGTACAATTACATGTTTCATTCTGCTGAATAATGAAGACAGACAACGCACCTTGTAGTAGACCTCGGCATGCTGCATTGCTCGCATGGCCCAAGCCATCTCAATATCAGGCTGCAAAGGAGTTAAGAATGCTGGGTCAGAAATCCCCCAATCCTGTGCTAGAGAACACATTAAGGAAGTCTGCTGATGTTCAACGAGGGATGTCAAACTTAGTGCTACTGTCAAAAGGATAAAGCCGGACTAATGGCTTTGGACAATAAAATCATCTTTCGGTCCAAAAGAAGGGGCCTGCACAGTCTAATAAACAGAATGAGCCGTTGACTATATTCTCCCGGAAGTTAGTGAAAGTGTGAAAGATTAAACAGAACTATAGATAAACGGAATTCTCAAGACTGAGTTAAATCACTGTAAAACTGAAATAATAAACTAGCATACACAAGTGAATTGTTGAGAACAAAGTAAGATAATGGAAGTGAAAATACTCTTCACTTTCAAGAGCGCAGCAGGTCATAATCATAATTTGTGTTTATATGATAGCAAGTTCCCCACCTTGTAACACTTAGAAATGAGTCAGTATCATGAAGCGGGTTAATTTATAAATAAGTTACCAAGTACCCACCACCTGTTCCATTAGACTCTCCCACTTCAAGTGGAGGGATCTATATTTGACAGACCCCAGAAGAAGCAATTTACATTTTTACCTCCATGCGCTTTGCATGACTACCAATTCATGTCCTTTGTCCACCTACACGTTGAGGATACAGTTAGATTCACTATCTACTATCTGGGTTCTTGGGGGTTTCGTCAGCAAAACTGCTTTGAATCTTATGCCCCGATCCGCTCATCTAGCCGATATCACATTGTTTTTGAGCGTTACTACTACTCTCAATGTGCTGTATCTTGTATCTCCAAACTCATCATGTGCTTTCCCCTTAAGACTCTATACCAGACACAATATAAGCCGGTGCAACTTTACTACATAACAGAATCACTAGGGGACCTTTAAAAATACGGATCCTTGATTTTTACCGCCCCCCCCTCCGATATCAGATTTAATCGGTATGGATTGCGCCTTGGACATCGGGATATTTAGATGCTTCACAGGAGATTCTAAGGTGCAGCAAAGTTTAGGAACGACTCCCTCTGGCATTAGCCCCGCGTTTGTGGACCGAAAAGATAGAAATGAAAGGCACGGTTTCCGGCGGACATGGACAGGGGCTACAGAAAATATCAGTGCAGGTTACAATTTCACGGCAGGACCTGTAGACATCCCGGACTAGCTGGGTGAATGGAAACTGGGGGGTGAGTCACACTCACATCGTTGCCATAGGACTCGGCTGGGAGAGAAAGAGCATGTGCCACTGACACCAGTTCCCCGGAAACCTGGTAAAGAAAAAACAGGAGAGGAAGGGACAGTTCAAGGCGAGACCCCGCTCGACTGCCCCATTCACCCGACCCCAGAGCAGCGTCTCACCAGCTCATCGGTTCCACCAGCCGCCTCCATGTTGCAGCTAACAAAGCGTGGCCCCACTTCCCGGAAATGACTTGACTTTACGTAAGCTCCTTCCGTCGTTGGTTGGAAAGGGAGGATCTGGCAAGAGCGGCTCTCATCCGCCTGCGCCTGCGCGCACACGGCCTCCCCGGGAGGTGGTAGTCCCTGGCCTCGCCTCACCCGCCCTGCGCAGACTCCAAAGTGTTCACTGTTACGTAGTCTCGGCTGCTGGAGGTTTGTGAGGTTGTTAAATGCTCGATAATATCAGTGGTGATAATGGAAAAAACCTGAGTTAAAATAATGCAGCTTTCACGTCCCCGCTGCACTGAGTGCCCGGCAGAGAATCGAATTCACACTCCATTTGCACAAACACACACTCGCACACAGCAGTTACTACTATGGCCTTGGGGGGGCGGGGCTTCAGGAGACCTTGCTAGGGGCTCTCAGTTGCAAAACGACTTCCTTGCCGCCCCTACTAGCTGCTTCCTGAGCTCCCTACTCAAACTACTGTCGTTTTCCTTTTTCTACCGTCTTGCTCAGGTCCCTCCCTCCAGACTACTGTGGGCCTCAAAGAAAATGACCCCTTGGGCCTTCTGCCTGGCTCAGTGAAACTGTGGCCGCTTGATGGCAGCCTTGCGCCACAAATGTACTCAACTCCGCTCCTTGCTCCCGCCCTTCTGTTTAGAAAAAAACGCTCCTCTGAATCCAAACAGAAATTAATTCCCAGCTGAGGCCGGTCTCTTTAGGAGGCCCTGTAGCTCTCATTTCTTTCCTAAATGTCTTGATTTCTAGCATGCTTGTAAACTTTCTCGCATATTACTTTGTTTTTTGTTTTTTTTTGCCATTATGCCAAGTCTCCTTGGCTTATTGTAACAATGGCTTATTGTAACTTTCTTCTTTTGTTCATTAAATGAATCTCAGGATGCTGAGTGTATAAAATGTTGAGAACTTAGAAAATAAAGAAGGTAAATACCACCCCCACCCCACTACCCATAACGACCACTAGTATACTTCTGTATTGCCTGTATAACTGGTAGCATTTTTATGTTGTATTTTTCCTATTCCTTAAAAGCTGTTCACAAACAACATTTGAAAGAATTTCATCCTCTTTTGCATTATCAAGATCTTCAGCCTGAGGATAAAATTTCCCTTAGCTCAAAACAATCCACATACCACAGAGGCAGATCTTGGGGTGACTTGTTCTGAACCCCCACAGTTCCCTCCTCTGAAAGTTCCCTGCAAGTTTCACACTCCAGAAGCTGGGCTGATAGACCTTTTATCATTAAACCATTCTCAGTCTTGAGAGTAGGCTAGTTCAGTTAAAGTTGTGTCTCAATTCAGAAGATGGTGATGCTCCCAAAGTTAAGCCTGGTGCAACTGAACAGGCGTTCAATAGCAGGCATCTCTATGGAAACATAAAAACAAAGGTTAATGACTGGAGCACACTGTAATCCCAATTTCTGACTTCTGAAGGCAGGCAGTAGAGAAGATTTCTAGATGTGTGTCTCAAAGCATCCTCGGAGAGGAGGCAGGCAGTGGGAGCCTGACAGATTCTCCTGGTGTGCAGTTAGAATGTCTCTGGTAAGACTGTCCATAGACAAGCTGCTGCGGTGATGTCCCTGAGGTCAACATCAAGTTGTCCCACATTCGCTTGCATGGCCTTGGAAGAGGACAGTTTCAGTTCTAGGTGATTCCAAGTCAGAGGATGGGAAAATGAAAATGTTAGTTTGGAGGGTTGCAGACAAATACTTAAGAAAAGTAGAAAAATTCAGATACAGGTACAAAAAAATTTTAAACTCAAAGACAATGAAAAGCAGTAGAATCTAATATCCACAAAGGTGTATTATACTTTCTAATGAAACAATTTTTCTCTCAAAAATCACCCTCATTTTTTTTAATCAAAGATAGACAAATTAGGAATCATTTATTTGCAAAACAAGTCTAGTTTCAACAAACTTGGCCTGATTATCTGTATACGTCAAACAAGAATATTAATTAACCAGGCAGGCACTTTTAAATCTGCATTTCTGGAATCGTTCACAAGGAATCGTCAGGGTGAACTTGAAAGACCTCTCAAGGCCACAAAATACAAGGCAAGGACCTATAGATATCTCGAGGTTCCTGCACCTGCCAGGAAGTGACATTCTGTACTCAGATGGTAAGGCTGCTGGGAACCATGTAAGCAGGTACCACGTCAGTATTTCCAAGGGTTTCTATCAGCTTCCAGAAGTCAATCTTCATTCCTTAAAGCATATCTGAGTCTATGCATTTCTCAAATATGACATTCCAGCCAGAGTCTTGGTAATAAAACCAAATTCTAATTATACCCTATTATAAAGAGAACAGATCCTTATTGAACTCAGGCAAATAAACATATGGCCATGAAAATAATAATACTCAGTCTTTGAGAGTTTTCAAGTAATGGAGGGATCAGGTAGGGAGAATAAAATAAATGTTTCAGTTCTGCTTACAAAGGTATAATTTACCAAATTGAGACATCATAGATAGGTAGCATAAGAGAAATAAGTGTTTTTTTATCTGAAAAACAAAAGATTTAAAAAATCAGCAATCAGAAACAAAAAGTCATAGAAATTATAACCATTTTCATCATTTTATTCAGTCCTCTGCAATTAGCCTTGTTCTGCCTGAATCCAGTTTTTCCATTAGTTCTCTCTACCTTGACTGATAATAGAGGGTGATGAGGGTGATAAGGCCAGTGATAACTTCATGGTTTTTTTTGGGGTGGGGGAGAGCTGGTATTTTTATGAGTTTATTTGAGCCAAAGTGGATGACACATGGCAGGGAGCAAGATCTCAAGTGCTCCCTAATTCCAAGAAGTTTGCAAGGCTGTCCATCAAGGTTCATGTGACTTGCCTCAATCGCTAGAGATTGTGGAAGGTGTACCCCAAGTGGAAAGCATTTTCTAACACTTTCTTTGCCACTTGTGAGGGCATCAGTCTTGTGGCTGGAGAAAGCTTTAACCTATCCAGAAAACAGACACACAAAAACAAGAACACATTGATAACCCAAACTATGTGGCAGTTGAATGAAGTCCAGCTTAAATGAACTATAATGGATGAAGGAATGAAAAACCGAAAAAATGCCAGGGAGACTGGAAGAACCAAGTGGCCGTCTTGGGTTCCTATAGCCCTGACTAGTCATGTAATTTATCAGCCACTGTTTACCCATCTGAATTTCTCTGATTCAGGAGCAGACTTGCCATGTTACCAGGACATCAGAATGGCAAAAGTCTAGCTCTGAGGGGTCATTTTTGCAAAACCAGAATGGACCTCATCCTTATGTACCACAATCTGATACCAGGTTCAGTCCTTTCAGTGTGTGCCTCAGTTTCAATGACAGACATCTTAAGTCAGGACATCTGAGATACCTGGCAATTTTGCATACATTTTTGGAACATTTATAATATACACTTATATAAGTACAACCTAAAGAAGGCTCAATGTTATTTCTTTTTTTAATTTTTAATTTTTTTAAAAAGATTTTTTATTGGGGAATTGGGTAAGGGAACATTGTGTTTTTCCAGGACCTATTAGCTCTAAGTCCAGTTACCACTTTCAATCTAGTTGCGGCGGGGGGGGGGTCGGAGGGCGTAGTTCACTATCCCATGCGGGAGTCGAACCGGCAACCTTGCTGCACACTGAGCCATCCAGACATACATCGGCAGCTCACAGCTGCTCAAGGGGACATGTTCAATCTTAGTTGTAGGGGGAGGGTGTGCAGCCCACAATCCCATACAGGTGTCGAACCAGCAACCTTGCTGCTAAAAGCACGTGCTCTCATCAGCAGCTCAGGGGCAGCTCAGCTCGGGTGCAGCTCACTGGCCCATGTGGGAATCGGACCGGCAACCCTGTTGCTCAGACCAACTGAGCCACGTGGCCGGCCCAATGTTATTTCTTTTTTGACAATACTCCCAACACACCAAAATAAGCCTAATTAGTTTAGTATTTCTCTTATGTAAGGAGAGAAAACAAATCTTTTGAGGTGTTCCATGGGGCCTTCTGGAATACTTCACAATTATTCCCAGGCCAAGACTCTATAATTTAAAGTTTGGAAAATTTGTTAATATATATCAAAATGTTTGGACATTTGACTAAATAGGATCATAAGTCATTATGAAGCTTAATTATGCATTTAACCAAAGTGACAATAAAATATTTCAAAGATAAATACAGAAGTTCACATAATCGGGCTGGCCGAGTGGCGCGATGGGTAAGAACTGGCTTGGGACGCCAGAGGGCCCTGGTTCGGATCCCATATATGAGGGCCAGTGACACTGCCCTCCACAACTAAGATGCTGAACAACAGCTCA